TAATCTTTTTAAAAAGTATGGTTTTTACTTGATGTTGCATTGTATGTATAGATTAATTTAGGGAAAATTGGTTTCATTGCAAAAGATTTCCTGTCCCTTAGTAGTATTTTGCAGCTGTTCCCTTAGGTTTTGCACATTCCTTGTGTTTGTTCTTAGATGCTTTATACCTTCCTTATTATTGATGGGCCCTTTCTGAGGTATGTATTGTATTTTGTTGGAGAACCATGTGGTTGCATTTCTTACGTGCACAATACAGTGAACGTCATTCCACATTCAGGGTGGAATGTGATCCAGGTCAGTTGTATCAAAGGAACACTGTCCAGTGCCATTAATTTAATATGATGGGTACTTTTAACTTCTTTTTTTTTGAGACAGAGTCTTACTCTGTCACCCAGGCAGGAGTGCAGTGGTGCAATCTTGGCTCACTGCAAGCTCCGCCTCCTGGATTCACGCCATTCTCCTGCCTCCTGAGTAGCTGGGACTATAGGCGCCCGCCACCACACCTGGCTAATTTTTTGTATTTTTTAGTAGAGACGGGGTTCTACCATGTTAGCCAGGGTGGTCTCATCTCCTGACCTTGTGATCCACCCGCCTCGGCCTCCTAAAGTGCTGGGATTACAGGTGTGAGCCGCTACGCCTGGCCTTACTTTTAACTTTTTTTTTAAGAAAATTCTTTCTTTTTTATTTTTTTAATTAATTAATTATTTTTGAGACGGGGTCTGGCTCTGTTGCCCAAGCTGGCATGCCGTAGTGGGATCTTGGCTCACTGCAGTCTTTGCCTCCCAGGCTCAACCCATCTTCCCACCTCACCCTCCTCAGTAGCTGGGACTACAGCCATGTGCCAACACGCTTGGCCAATTTTTGTATTTTCTGTAGAGAAGTGGTCTCACTTTGTTGCCTAAACTGGTCTTTAACTCCTGGGCTCAGGCAATCCTGCCTCAGCCTCCCAGAGTGCTGGGATTACAGGTGTGAGCCACTGTGCCTGGCCGGGTACTTTAGATTCTAAAATAACACCTCAGGTTTTGTTTTTTATATTACTACCTTTTGTACTTGCAGAGTGTGCTATAATTTGAACTCCAGTTGTTTTTTGTTGTTTTTTCCTAACATTTTATCCTTTGTTTCTTGGGTCACTTTGAAATTTTAGTACTTTGGGAGTAAAATAAATTGTGTATACCAAGCGCATTTTTCCTTTTTTAGTTGATTAGTTTAGTGAAAGCAAGTGGGTAAAGAATGGTGGATTTAACTGTCATTTTATAAAATCTGTTTCTGGGTAGTTCTTGGCCCCAGATATTAAAAAGGAAAGGTGAAGAACCAAGTTGTTTTTGTAGAGAAAAGATAACATATTTCTTGCTTTGCAAGTGGCATAGCGTTAACAGCCCAGTTTCTGTAGTCACGGGACCTACAATCAGGATCTTCGTTCTACCAGATGCTAGTTAAGTGCCCTTGGGGAGGTAACTTAACCTCTCAAAGCTTCTGATGTCTCCATTTGATTGCCTGGTTGGTTGGTTGGTTGGTTGATTGAGACAAAGTCTCACTCTGTTGTCCAGACTGGAGTGCAGTGGCATAATCTCAGCTCACTGCAGCCTCTGCCTCCCAGGTTCAAGCAATTTTCCTGCCTCAGTCTCCCAAGTAGCTGGGATTACAGGCATGCTACCATGCCCGGCTAATTTTTGTATTTTTAGCATACACAGAGTTTCACCATGTTGGCCAGGCTGGTCTTGAAGTCTTGACCTCAGGTGATCCACCCGCCTTCCAAAGTTCTGGGATTACAGGTGTGAGCCCCTGGCCCAGTGTCTCTATTTGTAAAGTAGGGATACTTACTATCTTAATACACAGGGGGGCTATAAGGACTAAATGAGATATGCTAGTGCTTTTCTTATGATAAGTATTTTTTAACCGTTGTTTTACTTCTGGTCCCAGTGAGATAATAGTGTGTATAAGTGAGACACTGTCATCTAGGGTTCTCCTTGAAGATCGTACCTTGAAGGGCATTTCTACTGAATAAGAAATCCATGTTTAGGCCGGGCGCGGTGGCTCAAGCCTGTAATCCCAGCACTTTGGGAGGCCGAGACGGGTGGATCACGAGGTCAGGAGATCGAGACCATCCTGGCTAACATGGTGAAACCCCATCTCTACTAAAAAATACAAAAAACTAGCCGGGTGAGGTGGCGGGCGCCTGTAGTCCCAGCTACTCGGGAGGCTGAGGCAGGAGAATGGCCTAAACCCGGGAGGCGGAGCTTGCAGTGAGCTGAGATCCGGCCACTGCACCCCAGCCTGGGCGACAGAGCGAGACTCTGTCTCAAAAAAAAAAAAAGAAATCCATGTTTATCATCTGAAAATGAAAATAAAGATACAGATAAGAGGAAAATGTGTAACAATTTAGAATCTCCATCCTACTCTACCACCAGAAATAACATTGTTAGCAAGAGCACCATGATACTAGTTTGAAATTCAGGTCCATATCCCATTGTGGGGGACACTGCCTTCTTATTTGAGGAGCCTCAATCAAGGTTGTGGGGCCTAAAGTTTAATTTTTATTGTTGTTGTTAGGGGTATTATTTTTCTACGAAAAGTAATTCTCAATGCAGTTTCTCAAATGGTGGGATTCCTTATCTTCCGTTGGGCCCATTCCCCCATGTAGACACAAGGTTATGATTAGATAACTGTAAGATGTGAAATAGTAAACACTAGAGGCAAGTATATGGTCTGTTCCTAGTTTAGAAGCCCCAAATCTTTATCCCCTACTCTGATGAAGTTGGAGCATGGGACTATCTTCCTGTCTACTGTATTTGCCCAAAGCCTAGAGCAGAATAGACAGGAGAAAGGACCTCTTTTCTGTTTACTGTACCCTGACCTTTGCTCCTATGTTAAGCCTTTAAAACTGAGAGGTACTCTGGTGGGAGATTAACAGGAGGAAAAATAAATTTTTCACTTCTGTGCCTGTCTGTCCCCTCATAAAAGATGAAACACTTTATTCCCAAGACTCTCTTATGATCTTTTCTATCCTGTTCATATCAATGCATGGCAGAGGCCATTCTTGGAGTTACAAAGGGAACTGGTTAAGATATGTGGCTAACAATCCTCATTTTTCCTGTCTTAACTCAGTGGACTTAACGGTCAGACTGATGGTTAGCTAGGTTGTTGCTCTGCCCATTCAGCATTGGTGAACAGCCTAAGTCATGTCTGTACTTTTGTGAGCATCTAAGCCTTGCCTCAGCTTTTTTGTATTTACTTAGAAATAATGTCCTGGGTGGCCAGGCACAGTGGCTCACGCCTGTAATCCCAGCACTTTGGGAGGTCAAGGCAGGTGGATCACCTGAGGTCAGGAGTTCGAGACCAGCGTGGCCAACATGGTGAAACTCTGTCTCTACTAAAAAGAATACAAAAATTAGCTGGGTGTGGTGGTGGGCGCCTGTAATCCCAGCTACTTGGGAGGCTAAGGTAGGAGAATCACTTGAACCCAGGAGGGGAAGTTGCAGTGAGCCAAAATCGCGGCATTGCACTCCAGCCTGGGTGAAAAGAGCAAGACTTTGTCTTAAAAGAAAAAAAAAAAAAGAATGTCCTGGGTTTATTTCCTGGGGCTTTTTTAGGTTCAGTGGATCATTCAGTGATATATATAAGCACATATACATGTTACTTACATTTACCTGAAGACTGTCCTATGGTGTGGCCAAAAGCCACCTTTAAATTTTATTTCTCATCTTGGGAGGCTGGAGTAAGAGGATCACTTGAGGCCAAAAGTTCAAGACTAGCCTGAGCAACACAGCAAGACCCCATCTAAAAAAAAAAGAAAAAAAAAAAAACTTTAAAAATTAGCTGGATGTGGTTTCACGTGCCTACAGTCCCAGCTAACTATCCAAGCAGGAGGATGGCTTGAGCTCAGGAGTTTGAGGCTGTAGTGAGCTATTATTGTGTTACTATGCCCCAGCCTGGGTGATAGAAAGAGACCCCATCTCCAAAAAATTCTATTTGCCATCTTAAAATGTGCCTCACTAACCGGGTGCGGTGGTTCACAACTGTAATCCCAACACTTTGGGAGGCTGAGGTGGGCGGATCACATGGTCAGGAGATCGAGACCACCCTGGCTAACGGTGAAACCCTGTCTCTACTAAAAATACAAAAAATTAGCCGATTGTGGTGGCGGGCGCCTGTAGCCTCAGCACTTTGGGAGGCCGAGGTGGGCGGATCACGAGGTCAGGAGATCAAGACCATGCTGGCTAACACGGTGAATCCCCGTCTCTACTAAAAATACAAAAAAATTAGCCGGGCGTGGTGCCGGGCACCTGTAGTCCCAACTATTCGGGAGGCTGAGGCAGGAGAATGGCGTGAACCCAGGAGGCAGAGCTTGCAGTGAGCTGAGATCACACCACTGCACTCCAGCTTGGGCGACAGAGTGAGACTCCATCTCAAAAAAAAAAAAAAAGTGCCTCACTAGCTGTTACCCAGTTGAACTCACCCCACAGAGTTATTTAGTGTAATGAGTATGATAATTTATCAAGTTGTATGATATTGTCCCTTGCTGATACTAAAGTACACACCTTTACCAAATAATAGAGTCACAATGATCTCAGTAGTTAATTCTAATTGTGATTCTAAAACAATAATTCTTTCAGTTACCAAAAGGATATACGCATTTGACTATGTGATTAAGCCCTTTAGATATCATGCTTTAAGAGAAGGTTAAGCTACGGGAAGCTGTTAATATTTCCTTCTAGCTATCCATTCCTTCTCTAACAATGCATCAGTAACTTAAAAATCTAATGTGAAATGATGCCTCACAGTATGTCTCTCTAGATTGCATTGGTTAGAGCCTAATACATTTTATTTTTTACAAAAGATATAACTTTAAAAATATTTCTTTATATTATCAATATTATATAGTAATATAGGTTAACCACTGTATGTGTTAAGTGCTATGTATAGGTTAAGTGTTTGGAGAATGACTCTCCTGAAAATGGCTTGTTTTTCCATTTTAACTTTTCTTTCTTCCTTTATTTAAGGATTCCTAGATGAGGTTATGAAGAAGTATGGCAGTTTGGTTCCACTCAGTGAAAAAGAAGTCCTTGGAAGATTAAAAGATGTGTTTAATGAAGACTTTTCTAATAGGTATATAAACGATGCTAAAGTTAAGCCCTTGAAAATAAAATTGTTGGCATATATGACTTTTCTCTTGATTTACAGGAAAAAAAGGTGCTTAGCAGTAAATTGAGAAGTACTCATTTTTTTATGTTTTCTTTCAAAATCTTTCTCTTTCAGAAAACCATTTATCAATAGAGAAATAACAAACTATCGGGCCAGACATCAAAAATGTAACTTCCGTATCTTCTATAATAAACACATGCTGGATATGGACGACCTGGCGACTCTGGATGGTCAGAACTGGCTGAATGACCAGGTCAGTATATTGTAGTTTGTCAATGTGGAGAAGTTGCAGAGGATGTTAGTCAATAAAATATAATCTCTGGTTTGGCTTCTCAGTTGTCTTTTGGAATCAAGGATTCTTTATTCTTGACCGGTTACTTGCCCCAGGATCCAAACGGTTTGATTACGGCTGTCAGTAATAATATATTCTTCATTCTGATTGGGATGTTCTGAATTGTATAGGGTTAGTAACCTGGTTTTATTTATTTATTTTGTTTTTCTTTCGCCAACTTATTGGCAGAGATAGTAAGCTGGTTTTATGTTGACTTTTTATAGGTCATTAATATGTATGGTGAGCTGATAATGGATGCGGTCCCAGACAAAGTAAGTGAAAACTTCCTCTTCTGCAGGAGAGAGTGTCTTTGTGTATTAAAAGGAGTAGTTTTTGTGTGTGTGTGTGTTTAAATTATCTGACATTCCTTAAATTTTTAAAAAGGAGAGTTCAATTTTGTCTTGATCATGCACTGGGCTTGACTGTAAGTTCCATCAAATCACTTCTTTTGTTTTTCATTTTGAGATGGAGTTTCGCTCTTGTTGCCCAGGCTGGAGTGCAATGGTGTGATCTCGGCTCACTGCAACCTCCACCTCCTGGGTTCAAGCAATTCTCCTGCCTCAGCCTCCCGAGTAGCTGGGATTACAGGTGTGTGCTACTATGCCTGGCTAATTTTTGTATTTTTAGGAGAGATGGGGGGTTTTACCGTGTTGGCCAGGCTGGTCTCGAACTCCTGACCTCTGGTGATCCGTCCCCTTCCCCCTCCCAAAGTGCTGGGATTAAAGATATGAGCCACCATGCCCAGCCAGTTTTTTACATTTAACTTAAAATCTTGTTCTCTTTAAAAATGTAAAAAAAAATTCATCTTTCCCTTTTTCTTGGATAAATCTTTGATACTCAGTTCAAATACAGATTGAACCCTCATAAACTCTAAATTCTCTTAAGAGTTTTGTTACATATCAAAACTATTTTTTTACTTAATGTATTTTTCTGAGTACACAGATACCTGATGGGTGCAAAAATTTCCAAGTACTTTATAAAACTGATCAATCTAATAAAGTAATAGATAAATACTAAAAAGTCAGATTCTGATACTGTTTATGAATATAGAAAATGTTTTGTGACTTTCCACTTAAATTATAAATCTGTTATACATTTATAAATTGGAATCATGAGGCTAATCTGCTAGATTCTCTTGTCAAATTCTCTTAATCCTCAGAATGTTTAAACACATACAGATTATCTTTAACATAAAAGTATTAATTTCAAGGGTTTCATTTACCACCAGTATATTTAATTCTAAACATTCATGGAATCAAAAGGACACTTAACTAAGGCAGCGGTTCTCAAAGCATAGTCCCCATACTAGCAGCATCAGTATCCCCTGAGAACTTAACTAGAAATGCACATTCTCAGACTCCAACCCAAATCTACTGAATCAGAAACTGGAGGTGGGGACCACCAATCTGTGTTTTGACAAGCTCTCCAGATGATTTTGATGGACACCAAGTTTAAGAGTCACTGCTCTAGAGACAGCTACTATAAGCTCTTATTTATTTATTTATTTTTATTAAAATTATAAAAAATACCCTTTTTTTAAGAGACACTAAAAAGACACTCCAGGCTGGAGTGCAGTGGCCCAATCATAGCTCACTGTAGCTTTGAACTCCTGGGCTCAAGCAATAGTCTCGCCTCAGCCTCCCAAGTAGCTGGGACTAGAGAGGCATGTACCACTGTACCCAGCTAGTTTATTTTTATTTTTGGTAGGGCCGGGAGTCTTGCTGTGTTGCCCAGGCTAGCTTGAACTTTGGGCTTAGCTAAAGTAATCCTCTCACCTCTGACTCTCAAAAGGGCTGGGATTAGAGGTGTGAGCACTATGTCTGGCAGCTCTTTTAATTTGTATGTTAAGCTGCGTGGTTATCAAAATAATGTGCATCAGAACCATCTGAAAGGCTTACAAAAACCAGATTACTGGGCCCTACCTTCGGAGTTTCTGCTTTAATAGGTCTGGGATGAGGCCTGATAATTTGGATTTCTAACAAGTTCCTAGATGATACTGACACTACTGGTCTGGTGACCACACTTGGAGAACCACAGCACTAAGGGAACAGTTTTATCACCTCATGTTACTGAGTGAGCACTTTAAGGCCACAATATGTTTACCATCTCAGATGAGCTGATGTACCACTTACTTATAAGTCAGAAATTCAAAGCCAAGGATGCAGGACCTGATATTCTGTACAGCCAGGGTAATTCTGTGGTACTAGAAATAATCATGCGAAGGCCTTTTTATAGTTACTGTAACAACAGGAGTCTCTAAATCCACATCCTTCACATGGAGTTAGTTATGTAATCCGTCTCCCTTGAGTTCAAGGTAATTGTTACCTAAGTTTTCCATAGCCTCTTTCAACTTTTTCACCTGATTTGGAGAGATTTGTCAGGTTGCTTCTCTACTTGATTGGATTCAGGTAATCTATTTACTGCTGCATTCCAATTCTGACTACAGACCACAGCTGTAAGGTCATTCCAATAAAAATTTGGAACAGCATTTTCTGTTAACCATGTAATGTATTTTCTATATTTTGATCATTATTATCATTATTTTTTGAGATGGAGTTTTGCTCTAGTGCCCAGGCTGGAGTGCAGTGACGTGATCTCTCAGCTCACTGCAACCTATGCCTCCCAGGTTCAAGAGATTCTCCTACTTCAGCCTCCTGAGTAGCTGGGATTACAGATGCCTGCCACCACGCCCGGCTAATCTTTGTATTTTTAGTGGAGACAGTGTCTCACCATGTTGGCCAGGCTGGTCTCAAACTCCTGACTTCAGATGATCCACTTGCCTCCTCAATCATTGTTTTTAAGAATAAATTTTTCCTTTCTTTTTGTCTGCTTTATATTCAAACATTTTAAAATTTCCTCTTTCTTTTGAAGTTAAATCTGGGCAAAGCCTAATATAATCTGGTTGCTTGTGTTTATTGTCTGTTCTAGGTTCACTTCTTCAACAGCTTTTTTCATAGACAGCTGGTAACCAAAGGATATAATGGAGTAAAAAGATGGACTAAAAAGGTATCTTCTTTGTTTGTTTTTTATTCCACATTTGAAAAGCAGATGATAAGCCACTTTGTGTGGAAGGATAAGAACTTTAATGCCAATATGATATTAAGTAGAAACAGACTTTTTAATGTGACAGATTTTAAAGCTGTTTCTTTTAAATCGTATTGTTTGAAAGACCTTAATTGCCTCCCGGTCCCAATTATAGTGGTAGAACAGTGGGATGATAAAGAAAGAGCTGCCATCATTTGGTATTATCTGGTAGTCTTGTCAGCAGACAGCAGAAGCTTTCAACAACGTTTTGCCAGTGCTGGGCATGGTACCTCGCGCCTGTAGTCCCAGCTACTTGGGATGCTGAGACCAGAGGATCACTTGAGCCCAAGCATTTGAGGCCAGCTTGGGCAACACAGCCAGATCCTGTCTCTTAAAATGTTAACTGATCCATCAGGAGAAATAACTTTTGTATCACAATCTATTCATAAAATCATGTACATACATGTACTTGAAATAATTTATAAAAACCATGTACCTAATTTACTGTGTATGATGTACTCTAATCAGAGGTGATAAGTGCTATTTGCTATCATCAGAACACAGTATGAGAATACAAGTTAACTGGGATAGGGTCGTAGGAGGGAGGAGGAAGATGGGCTAGTTCTTTTAGACAGGCTCATCAGCAAAGGCCTCTGAAGAGATCACATTTCACTGAAAACTGTGAAGATCAGAGGAGCATTCGCAGTGGATGGAAGAGTGAATGTTAAAGGCTCTGAAGCAGAAGTGAGCTTGATATGTTGGAGTATCACACACACGAGATCAGGGAAGGAGTCAGGGATCAAGTCATGCGGGGCCATATAGGCTCTGGTAAAGAGTTTGGATCATGAGGGCAATTTGAAGACATTAGAGAGTTTAGGCTGGGCATGGTAACTCACGCCTGTAATCCCAGCCCTTTGGGAGGCTGAGGTGGCGGATCACCGGAGGTCAGGAGTTCGAGACCAGTCTGGCCAATGTGGCAAAACCCTGTCTTTGCTGAAAATACAAAAGTTATCCGGGTTGTGGTGGTGGGCGCCTGTAACCCCAGCTAGCTACTTGGGAGGCTGAGGTGGGAGAATCGCTTGAACATGGGAGGTGGAGGTTGCAGTGAGCCGAGATTGCACTATTGCACTCCAGTCTGGGTGACAGAGCGAGACTGCATGTCAGAAGAAAACTAAATAAAAAATAAAAATGAAGACATTAGAGAGTTTAAGCAGCAGGTGGGAGTGTGTATGAGTGTGTGTGTGAATGATAGCTAGGATTGTCCTTAGCAGCATTCATTCATTCCACATTTATTTATATTTATTTATTTATTTATTTATTTTTTGAGATGGAATCTTGCTCTGTTGCCCAGGCTGGAGTACAATGGCACTGTCTCCACTCACTGCAACCTCCACCTCCCAGGTTCAAGCGATCCTCCTGCTTCAGCCTCCTGTGTAGCTGGGATTACAGTCCCCTGCCACTACACCTGGCTAATTCTTGTATTTTTAATAGAGACGGGGTTTCACTATGTTGGCCAGGCTGGTCTCGAACTCCTGACCTCAGGTGATCTGCCCGCCTCAGCCTCCCAAAGTGTTGGAATTACAGGCGTGAGCCCCCGTGCCCGGCATTAAGTGTTATTTATTGAGTACCTGTTAATGTGCCTATGTGGAAAACCTGTTTTTTCCTCTGCTGTCACACCACAGCAGTAGTCAACACAGAAGACTTCTGTGACCAAAGCAAGCAGCGAACACTGGCTGGATGCCTCTAATTCAATCCCAACCCTATCTACCTGGTGACAGCGCCATAGCCCACAGGCTGAGGGCTCATGCCTCACGAGTGCCCCCCGCCCACTTCAGACACCAATTGCAAGTCCAGGTTTCTGAAACTTCTGACCAACAGACTTCAATGAGGGTTCCCATGCTGCCCTCCTTGAGTTTGATTAATTTGCTGGAACAGTTCACAGAATTCCCGGAAGTTCTTACCTACATTTAGCAGTTTATTATAAAGGATATTACAAAGGATTCGGATGAAGAGATGCATGGGAAGAGATGTAGGGGAGTGGGCACAGGGCTTCTCTAGGACCTCCACAGGCACACCACCCTCCAGGAACTTCCACATATTTAGTATCCAGAAGCTCTCCCAGTGCAGTCTTTTTCAGTTTTTATGGAGGCTTCATTGCATAGGTGAATGCCTAAACCAGTGGCCATTGGTTAACCTTTAGCTCCTCTTCTCTCCCTGGTGGTTGGGGGATTGGGTGGGACTGAAAGTCACAATCCTCTAATTCTGTCTTGCTCTTATCCTAAAGCTACCTAGTAGCTGCCAGCCATCAGTCAATCATTAACATACAAAAAGACATCACTTTGGGCCTGGGCTCATGTCCCCTTAATCCCAGCACTTTGGAAGGCTGAGGCAGGCAGATCATTTGAGGTCAGGAGTGCAAGACCAGCCTGGCCAACATGGTGGAACCCTGTCTCTACTGAAAATACAAAAATTAGCTGGGTATGGTGGCACGTGCCTGTAATCCCAGCTACTTGGGAGGCTGAGACAGGAGAATCACTTGAACCCAGGAGGCAGAGGTTGCTGTGAGCCGAGATTGTGCCACAGCACTCCAGCTTGGGTGACAGAGCAAGACTGTCTTCAAAAAAAATTAAAAAAAAAAGGCATAACTTTGGAAATTCCAAGGACTTTAGGAGTTGTATGCCAGGAAATGAGATCAAAGACCAAATTTATTATTTTACAGTATCATAGTGCCAGACATAGTAAATCGAGAAAGTGGTAAGTAAAACATAATTAGAGATAGTTTTTGCTTTCATGAAGTCTGCAGTCTAGTGGTGGAGACAGCACCTATCACAGTTTGTATTTATATTTTTGGTGGTGTAATTATTTGTTTAGTGGGTACAAAAGAAAAGTACTGGATACTACGGGAGTGTATTGGAATGGGGATTCGGTTAACCTAGCCTGAGGGTAAGGGAATGTTTCTCATAGGAAGTAATATTTAAGCAGAAATATCAAAGATGAATACAAGTTAACTGGGTAAATGGAGAATAAGGGTATGTGAAACATAGACAGAAGGAGTAAGTATCTGGTAGAAGAATGGGAATAGTGTAGCTGAAATGCAGAGAGTAAAGAAGAGAGTGGCATGAAGTGTACCTGATCTGCAGATCAGGGCCTTGAGGTTTGTGTTTTGGGTTGTATCCTGAATGTAACAGGAAACCATTGAAGGGTTTTAGGTGACATTATCCACTTTGTAGTCTTTGTTCTAATAGTACTGAAGAAGACTGATGGGTGTGGGAGCAAAGTTGATGTGGGTAGAACAGGAGACCATTTCAGATTCATGGTACTTTGAACTAGAATAATAGCAGGAGAGATGGAAGATGAGTGTGATGTAGGAAGTAAAATTAACAGGACTTGGTGATGAGTTGGTTATGGAGATGAAGGACAAGAAGTGTGAAAGATGACTTCCAAGTATGTGACTTGTATGACTGGATGGCCTGTGGTTGTATTTACATTAGAAAAATGTAGGACAACTAGTGGAGAGTTGTTCAAATTAAAAATGTACAGCCATATAATTGGATGCTACTTAAGCAGGAAAAGCTATGCAGATAATGAATGATGGGCCGGGCGCAGTGGCTCACGCCTCTAATCCCAGCACTTTGGGAGGCAAAGGCAGGCAGATCACGAGGTCAGGAGATCGAGACCATCCTGGCTTACACGGTGAAACCCC